AAAATAATCAATTTAATAAATGCCTTTAGTAAGTGTCGTAATGTTTAAAAATACGGGCAAAAAAAAACATTACATATTACAATGATACTATAGTCAAATAATAATAAAAGTTGTCTATTGACTAAATTACTTCTTTCAATTAATTAATCTTTTTATGTAAGGTTCTGGTTGAATTGAAAAAGTTAATGCCATGAGCGGGATTCGAACCCACGACCTTCGGCTGAATACGCCGCTGCTCTACCAGCCACTTGAGCTGTGACTTCGATCCACTCGGACACCAACTCCCCATCTCAACTTTCAACCTTTCGAATGTTTCCTATTTTTTCCATTTTTCTAATGGCGTAATAAGGATTCGATTCTCAGCGACATATGAAATGGCCACGGGAAGCTGCTAGTGAAGTTATACTTCGTTTTACTTATTAAATCCAAGTTAAGGTGTAACCAAACGCCCCTCAGACCAACACGTCATAAAAGTCTGGCAGGTTCAGACGGCCGCCCATCATCTTAAACAGCATTCCCTTAAAATAGTATAAAAACCCTAATCCCCAAATATCCTTGCCTACTCGAACAATAGTCTTCTGCCCGTCACTGTCGGTTAAAAATTAAACATTGTACTGTTTTGACAATAAAGTTGCTTCTTTTTTTAGAATTCTTCTTCGAGCGATTACTTAATTGGCGCCCAGAACAGGGACCGCGAATAGCTAACGTTTTAAAGTCGTGACTATTTGTCCATTGGACATTAACATGGACATTTTAAAGTCATTGCGTCCATTTGACTTGAACTTTTAGCGTGCACATCGGTGCTTTGATCGCGGTTCGAAGAAACTTCTCGTTAAGTCAACACCGAAGAAATTCCTGCAGCGACCATGCGTCTCATTCAGGGGTCTTGAAAATCGCCAAAGACAGAAGAAAGAAGAACCAGCAACCTGGAAAAGAAGAACACTACTCCAGGAATAGTAGCCATATTTCGCTTATTAAGTAGCCAAATCAATCCTTCCTTCTAGCATGTCTCCAAAAATTAATTATAAAAAAAGAAGACTACGATCACATCCCTTTCTTCGATGGAAACCCTTCAGAACTATCCTTTGTGAAATTTTGGAAACAGCATACAGCGTATTGTGTGTAGAAAATACTTCAGAAAGAGTTTACAACCATAATGTTTTATTCATAAAACCAAAAAGCAAACTAATTGGCCGTGCCAGAAATGTTTCGCATGATATAAATCATTTACTAACTTTAATTAAACATTTGAAACAAAATTTCGCTGATTCAAGGTCTAATGCAAACTAGACTCAATCCTAAAGAATTCCCCATATTATTTGTTAACAGAATTCAAGAATTACGAAACAGCTTATATTCGACTAAAGCTAGACGGACTAAATTCAGACACCTTGAAAGAACTAATGGACTTGATGAATGGACCTGCTATTGTTGCTATTCAACTATTCAACACTGCCAGTGTATTAAAGATAAATGGCCCAACATAACACCATACCCAACTCTATCAAAGAACACGTTCGTTACAATGGTTCGACACTGCTGTGTTAACGGATATTTTACATACAACAATCAATTTTACAAACAACTATTTGGCATAGCCTTGGGTAGGAACCTCGGCCCGATACTTGCAGACATGATTATGACACATCTATTAAATACAGTTATACCACAACTTCCTTTCCCATTACCCTTCCTCACTAAATACGTCGATGATATATTGACAGCAGTTCCCACAGATCAAATTCAAACTACATTAGATACAATTAATAGCTTTCACCCACGCCTACAATTTACACATGAAATCGAAAACAACAAAACAATACCATTTTTAGAATCACTCGTAATAAAACAACCAACCAGACGGCACATTAATCACAGATTGGTACCAAAAACAACAGATCGCTACCTCAACTTTACATCTCACCATGGTATGGTATGGTATGGTGGAAGGGATGCCGGGAAGCGGGGCTTGTGTTCCCCAGGCACTGCAGCCTTCTGGCTTATTGTACCTTCCCAGTTCCCTAGTTTAGTCAATAGACTCAATCCTTCTTCTCAGAAGTATCAGGTCATTGACTGTTATTGCTGCAATTTGGTTCCCTGAGTCTTTTTCGTACGCACATCAAAAATTTTTACATCGTCTAATTTTTCAATAATTTAGCTTTTCTTGTCCGAATTATCCCCTTCTATACAATCCTGAAAGGATAATCTGGCCGGACCATTACCAACGTTTTTTCCCATAGTCGGCTCTTTTCAGCTCAAAGAAGCCAACTCCTTATACAAAAATGTCTTTTCTATACCGACTTCCTTCCCCACCCTTTCAAAATGCAACGTATATAAACATAAAACAGCAATATCTCACTGGCACTCTCAACACGACACGCAAGAATGCCACAATTACGCAGAAAACCAACATTTGAGTGAGTAGAAATACTTTGAATATAAAATATATTTTTTTGCATTGTATAAATTCACTATTTTCCACATCCTACATGTATTTGTTAAATTTAAACAATATTTGTAAATCCCAGGCCCTGAAGATGATCTCAATAAAGGTGGAAACGTGGCACGATAAAGAAAATGTTTTCTGAAACCTACATCCCACCAGACCGCATCTCACGATTTCCGAATAAAGCGATAAACGCCATCGAAAGTAATTCTTTTCTTTTGCAGCATAATGTTGAAAATCAGATGGCTATTAACAAAAAATTAATTGACCAATTCAATCATGACATTCAGACGATAAGAGGCAATAATAGAAAAATAAAACCATTAACAAATCCTATATTAACCCAATTAGAAATAATCAAAATTTATAATGCTATATTCGTAAATCTAGTATTGTTAGATAACAAAATTAATTAATTTCTATATAATTCTGTAAACTTAAAACATTACGTCCTTCAATCCTAACATATGATTATCTAAATCAGGTGTCGGCACCCTGCGGCTCTTTGCAACTTTTTGCACGGCCCGCCAAAGCACAATATAATTTCAGGAAAAATCAACAAACTTAGAGCGTGAGCGTGCCGAAATGTGGCCGGTGACAAAAATGCGCCCTAACAGAAGCGTATGGGAAACCTATTTTACTGCGCAAGTTTAATCCCCACTCCCCATAATAATATTTATACTCGTATATGATATAAAAGCACTATTTAAGTTACATAACCCCTAAGTTACCCTAACCATCCCTAACCATCCCTAAAAGTTACATTTGAATGTGCGGACCGCATAAAAAATTTTATTTTGAAAATGACCCGCCGTCCGAAAAAGGTTGCCGACCCCTGATCTAAATCATTGAAAAAGACGAGAAATATATCCTTTATATCGCCCAGTCTTAGTACACTCTGGCAATTAACCAAAGTACATGGCTCTTTTATGAATAACGGACTTTATTATTATGTAGACGTGCCTTTACAAAGTTCCACCCTTGAAACAGATTTTCTATTATCCTATCCTGTAAATAAAAAAAGATCATGTAACAACAATATATACGGGGGGCGTCGGTGGCCGCAACGGTTTAGGCGTTGACACGGCGCTCATCACTGTAAGGTAAAGGTCCCGGGTTCGAATCCAGCGGCCCTGCATTCGAACCCGACATACTTACAAATGGGCTTTTTTTCAAAAACACCGGCACCCCGAGGGTTGATATATCTGCTGTTGCGAACCCTCGTAAAAAAAGAAAAACAGAAAACGATTCATAGGTGGATTTTGTTGTCATAAAATCAAAACGAAAATCTCTTCTTAAAACTGAACAAAATTCTTTATAAAAAAACTAGGCAGCAATGATTATTTCCATTGAATTAAAGTAAACAGCCATCAAAAAATAACCTGGTTTTTGCACGAAAAAATGACAACTTCGAAATGCATATTTTTTCAGCCTTTTAAGTCTGCGTAGGTCTTATTTTTTGAAAATTTTACGCAGATGATTTTTTAAATGTTTTCCTAGATTGAGTCCATTCATCAGTAAATTCAAAAATTCGGGAACATGTTAATTTTTACATTTTTTAGGAATAACGTCAATTGAGCTGTGGAGCCAAAAAATCGTCCTGGAGCAGTGCCCTATAGCAATCGATAAGAAATTTTAATAAGCTCTCAATTGATCATAAAAACCCTCGTAAAAAAGAACAAAAAACCAATATATACATACACGTCTATAATTCTTAAAGCGACGGATGACCTATTTACCGCTACTTGTATAGATATAAGTAATCAAAATTATTGTAGCAACATATCAAAAATTAATGATAATTGTATTAAATAAATTACTGCAAATGAAAATCTTTTTGATTGTAGATATTTGTACACATCAAGCACATCATTTATTAAATATGTACCATTTATAGACTATTATTTACCTTTTAAAAATGAAACAATTGTAATTAAATGAAATGATGTGAACGAATCAATATTTTTATATAATACTAGTTTAATTAAATTAGACAAAAATTAAGTATTGTTAAATGAAAACATGGTACCAATATTTAAAGAATCGAAAGTTATGTTTACATAAACCGACGTTGTGTGAATGTCGGGTTCGAATGCAGGGCCGCTGGATTCGAACCCGGGACCTTTACCTTACAGTGATGAGCGCCGTGTCAACGCCTAAACCGTTGCCGCCGACGCCCCCCAACATTTCTTTAAAATAGTATAAAAACCCTATCCCCCAAATATCCTTGCCTTACTCGTAAGATAGCCTTCTGCCCGTCAGTCTGTCGGTTTAATTAAACATTGCAAGATTCTGCAAGTCGAAGTATACTTCGAGCGATTGCTTAACTTCTATTATATTTAGTGATCTATTGACCAAATTACTTGTTTCAATTAATAATTCTTTTTAAGAAAATTATGTCTAAGGTCGTCTGAAGATGATATAATTAACATTTCGTAATTATAGTAATTTCGTTTTAATCTAATACGTTTTGCATTGTACTAAAGAAACAACGGCCGAGGCTTAACGTAGGCCACCCCACCCCGAAATGGTGCGTTGATATGTATATATATGTACACAGTCTTTGCTCGAATTTAGTCTTTGAAAGGAAACTCACAGTGCACAAGAATAATTTTTAAAAATAAATTTTTGAAATTAAAACTACCTAACATTGTACACGGTAATTATAAAGTTTAATTAACCAAAATATTCTTTGTTGTTTTTAAGCATTCTTTCAGAAGTAAAATACTTTGTTATTGAAAATGGTTTTATAGTAACAAAATTATTTCTATTTGTCAACCAGAAAATTCTAACTTCAACTACACGTCTGTCGGACTGAAAAAAATTCATTAGTTCCATAATTTAAAATCGTCAAGTTTCACAACTTGATCAAGATGGCAAAACTTGTCACTTGTGTAATTTTTCTCTCTCTCGTGAATGTTATTCGGGCCTGCGTAAATGGAACTCTTTTAAGTAAGTATGAACCGTTATCTACGTTATTTTTCTGCCGTTATAAAAATCCGGTCGATTTTTTCTTACTAATTTAATGCAATTAATCAACCGCCTAGGCAGTTACACATTAACCTGCCAAGACAAGAAAGATATTGTAAATTGGCACAACCATTATCGGCAGAGGGTCGCCACTACTATACCAACAGAGAATATGCGAAAATTGGTAAAATCCATTGTCGAAAAAAAAAAACGTAGGTATTTATTAATCGATTTTTCAGTACTGGGATCATGAGTTGGAAACCCAGGCCCAAAAACTTGCGAGTTCCTGTCTCTATGAGCACGACTCGCCGACAATTCGTAAGTTATGTTATCTCTTTTGAAACTTCCGTTCAACTGTCTTCTTCATTCTAGAGGGTAAAAACGACGTAGGACAAACAATATGGCAGACTATTACCACAAACAGAGAAAGTAGTTCTAAGGGTACTATGAAGTTCAAAGAACAAATTGACGAATGGTACAAAGAAGGCTTAAAATACAAGGGGGCGACGACAGAAGATGTCAGACATTTCACTCAAGTAAGCGTCCAATAAATTAGATTCCATATAATTAAACAAGCATGAAATAAAATGACTCGACAGAAAAAAAATCACGATAATAGTTTGGTCGTAATGTCATTCGGAATTTGAGTTTAAATAACTCAAAGATTCTTTTCTGTAATTTCAACCAGTTTTTAAAAACAAAAAATCTTTACTTCAAGCAGTTTTAAACGTTATTACTAGAGACCGGATTTTTATGCAGTTGCGTATTTGGTTTGCCATCATATACGACCGAGAAATCAATTATCTATCCGAATCATGTATCTAGGAAGCCGAAAGTTATATTTTATAGAGCATATTTTTGCATATTTGATGAACATCGCATAAAATTGCATATTTGAACAATATCTCCCAAAATATCTAAAATAATCTATTGGTTTTCAGGGGAACATAAAAAAAAATCTGTAAAAAAAATAACAAGTTGACGGAAAGTCGATTTAATTCGAAGTAAACTGAAACAGGCCTCAACTATATAATATAATATAACTATAGAATATAGAATATAAACACCACACCGCATCTCACGGTTTCTGAATAATTATAGAATATAAAACAAAACCTCTTCTTAGGTCTTATTTCAATATTCAATTCAGTTGTGCTGTACCTGTAACATTTAAGCCTACAACATGCCTAAGATTACGCAGTCAGTTTCTGTCAAAATCAAAAGGTGGCTGGAGCATTTTAATAATAAAAAAAAAGTTGGGTGTGTGGTCTAGAGCACACGGTAGAAGTGAAAACTTAAATTAGGGTAAATTAACAATACGAAATACAATTTTTGTTCTTTATTTTGTATAATCACAATGTAATTACGTTGAAAATGTATACAATTATGATTGTGTAGGAATTTGATTGTGCTCTGACTGATTGTCGTTGGTATCAGACTCTAGAAACGAAACTATTGGTTTATGGTAACTGAAATATGAGACAAATACTTTTGATTGAAATGAATTTCCTAAATATCTCACAAAAACTCCGTCAATCGTTGTTCCATATTTCGTTGTACTTTCATTTGTGCCATTGGACATATTAAGAATTTTGTTTTCAAAAAATCCACTAGAGGCTTTGATGTATCTTTGGAGAAGTCAACATTGAAATTTCCACTCATAATCATTGGTAATGTATAGAAATGTTCTTAGAGAAGAGCAGATCCTTGGTGTAGATAATTAAGTTTGCGTGGATGAATTTGATGATGTCTTTTACACTTTGATTAGGTGAAATATAAATAGCTACTATTACAATTTCTTGTCTATTTTCTATTGTACATTTCGATACTCAAATTTCGCCAATTGGTGATATATTGAATTCAAATGTTTCTGAATGTTGAAGTGTGACATCCATCAGCGAACTAACAAGAGTCGACGTGTCTCTCTTATTTTTGAATATAGCTACACCTGCAGATCGGCGATCAGGTCTTTTGAATTTCACCACACAATCAAAATTCGGGACATCGACTTTTTCTTCATTGTCCACCCAAGTTTCAGATAAAATCAGTATAGTCGAACGTTGTGTAACAGTATCATCGAGATCCTTTCTATATCCTTTCTATTGGAAATGAAGTTTATTAAAACATCAGTGATTGTTTGAAGCTTGTTAAGTGATAGCCTTTTGAATTTATTTTGTAAATCAATGAGGGATGTAGATTCTCTTCGGCCGTATGTAGCCGTGTTTCTTTCATTCACAATATACAGCCCTTCGATGCGTGTTACTCTTGTTAATGCGACATATACCAATTGCTGAGTATGCGTTTTCTCATACTCATAAACAACTTCATCGAATGTTGCTCCTTGTGACTTGTGAATCGTTATAGCGCATGCAGACACCACCGGAAAATGATTACGTTTAGCATTTATAGTTTTGTTATTATTAAGTTGGTATAGTGCTCGATCTTCTGGCTATAGGTACAGCGTTCCTTGGTATGTTATGATCCGTAATGTACCCTGAAACTTTACTTCGTATTTTCTTTCCAATTTTTTCTGGATTTGGAAATATGAGCCAAATTCTGATGATTTCGCCATTGTTATCATAATCGATGAAGCACAATTTTCCTACTACACCATTTGCTAATCCATCCGATACATCAACATTGTTAGTCAACATATAATATTTATCCAGCACGAATGTTTTATAAATACACGACAAATTCTGTCTTATTAACATATGTTCTTACACGTGTATTATGATAAATTATTACGATGAATTACAATTAAAGAATAATTAATTATTCTCAATAATTATATTCACAATAATTATTTTCAATGATTCTACTGGAATGAGCGTTACATCTTCGAGCATGACGGCTCGGTCTCATTCAATACTCACAAAAAAAAAGTGCTGAGCGCGCCTAAAGAAGATTTCACTTCAAAAAAAATTATGTCACATTTACTTTTGACGGCCAAATTGTGTACTGCCAACCTTGTGGTAAACCAATTACGTGCGATAAAAAATTTTAGCTAGAGCAACACATTAAAACTGGAAAGTTTTTTTTTTGACTTTGTAGAAGGGAATTGATAACGTGAATTTCCAGAGAAAATTTTTTGTCGTGATTAAGCGCATTGACATTTCATATTTTCTTTTAGGTGCACATTCGCTGGAACCACGATTTTCAAAGGGTCAACTTTTGTTGACTCAATCAACATCTAAACCAAGAGACACTTTTCCCGAAAATTTGTCTCTGGCATCGATTTTGGCCGATATTCCGTTTTTCAAACTCAAGAATTCCGTCCTCAACGAATTTTTTTCTTTGTTAGCGAATCGAAATATCCCGAATGAGAACACGCTCCGTAAATATTACTTAGATATTTGTCATAAAAACACATTGGCGACAACTAAATATATCTTGTTGTTGATGAAACCATAGACGTTAGTGGTAATTATGTTGCTAACCTTTCAATAGGAAAGTTGACTTGCCACGAAGCTGGCTACCCATTTATTTTCGCGTCAAAAATACTAGATAAAACAAATCACGACACAAATGCCGTTTTATTAATTCCAGTTTAAAAATCTTTTCCACTGATCGCGAAATGGAAAATCGGGTTTTGTTGCTCTTGAACGCGGCCTCCCATGGTTAAGGCTGGGAACACATGAAAAAGTTTCGCGATTCTTTCCCCGAATTAAATTCACTAATTAACAAGGCAAAAAGATCTTTCTAAAGGCTCCTTCTCGCGTGGTTGTTTACAAGGAAATGATGAATGAATCTTTACCTGCAACACCTGTGCTCACAAGGTGCGGCACGTGGTTAACTACGGCATTGTTTTATACGGAACATTGGGAAAAATACTGTGAAGTTATTCGTCAATTAAAAAAAAAAAGATTTTGATTCAGCCCAAAGTTTAAACCAAGTCTCAGGTTTAATAGAAAATTCGAAGGTTGTAAAATCTTGAACATTTATCAAATCTCACTCTTTTTTAATCAGTTCAATCACAAAACTTCGTTGCCTTTAAACTAGACCCGGAAGCCAAAATTGACTTGATTCCAGGCGAAATCGGAAATCTTTTTAAAACTAAGAAAGATGAAGTAAAAAAAAAAAATCTTGGGAAATTGCTCACAAAAAATAATAGTTCCTATTCACAGTAATTTTTTTTTCCAACGATCCGGATTTCGAGCTTTTTGCTCATCATCAGGTTGAAGGAGTTCTACAGGAACTATCTTTTTAAAAGGATTAAACACCGCACTCACTCCACTATTCATCATTTCTATCAATAAATAATATTCTTCAAGCAGAAAAAGACGCCAAAATAAGTGACTTTTCAGATCCTAGGATGTTAAGTTGTTTTAAATTTGCCCCTATCACTTCGTGGATGTAGAACGGTCATTTTCTGTGTATAAACAACTTTTAAGTGGCCGAAAGCACAATTTCACTGAAGACAATTTAGTATTTGTTTATTAACATTAATTATACTCAATTAGCCTAAAATATATAATTTAATTGTGTGAGAAAATATTTTTTAAAAATATAAATAAACTCTAAGTACTTGTGAATTACAATTATTTTCAGTTTTAAAGAATGTTAATATCTATTTCCTTTAATTATCTATATTTCTGTTTAAAGTTACGGATAATAAAAAAAATGGTTTACTGTAAATCATGGCATATTTTAACGTATTAATACTGCATATTATTGCATATTTCAGGGCTTTGAACTGCATATTTAATGGCATATTTTGCCAATTTTTATTACATAAAAATCCGGTCTCTACTTATTACACTCCATATTTCCATTGCATTTACAAATACATGTACCATATTCTGTACAACTTACATTCATTCGCGAAAGGCAAAGGGCTACGGTTATTTCTACATCATCATCAGAGCGACATTCCAGTTCAAAGAGCTTCGCTAGTGTTCCTGAACCATTTCAGATCTCCAGTTTAGCTCGCTCAGTACGTTTTTGGTGTCTTTCCTCACAAGCCGCGTAGCTTAGGACGCCCTCTTAGACCAATACCACATAAATTTTAATTTAGAAGTCTTTTGACGATCTCTCCAATACTCTTGCCATATGACATGCCCATCTGCTTTTTATAAAATTATTTGATTATATAATTGCATTAGGCTATTTAGTAGGGAGTAGAGCTCCCAATTATGTCTCTGACTACATTGATCGCTCACTATCTCCAGATAATTGTTTTTTTCTTGCATTTCGTTTGATATATTGGCTGTGGCGACAATGGAGACTGATTATGCAAGTTCACTTACTTACTCAAATCTGTAAGAACCGATCCGAACTTCTCATTCATCTCCAACCTTGCCCGGATATCCCGTATTTGGCTTTTGGATGGTTCTAAACGAGCCCGTCTTATTATTGCCAATATCTACATCACTGTCTCATAAATATGAGATTCCATACGGTTCTTAATATCTATATCGAATTGGCTATTTCTTAGTTCACCTTAATGCTAATAAATACTCTTAATTTCGTTATACATTGGTCCCAGATACATATATTTCATTTATTGTAAAACAATAAAACTATACACCCCAGTTTAACATGGTAAGTTAAGTAATTCGTAACTAAAAATGTTTTTTAACTAAATAGTTAATACTATATTCCATTGTGTATGGAATATGTAAAAATAATGGTCTGACCGCATCTTATATTGTAATTCTTACAGCTTGTTTGGGCTGATTCGTACAAAGTCGGCTGCGGCTTCAGCTACTTTAAGAAAAAAGACAAAAACGGCAAAGACGAACATTACATAAAATATTACGTCTGCAACTATGCTCCAAAGTAAGTACTAAGAGAGCTGTAATCTTTACACTATTAGCACATGAGTAATACTATTGTACTTTTCAGAGGAAATAAACCAACCGAATCTCCTTACAGACGTGGAAATGGTTGTAACCATCATCATCTCACACCAACCCAAGACACGCAAGGGTTGTGCAGTAAGTTTTTTTTTCAAGATTTTTTTAATATGTTTTATCTTGCATTTCATCGATGTCAGTGTTACGGTCGAAACCTCACCTAGGTGGCCAGCCGGTGGGTTAATGGATAAGGAAAATAATGTAAACGAAAGGAATAAAATGTTGGGCGCCAGTCGTCCTCCTTTGTCCAAGGGAAACAAAGGAGGAAGCGACAAAATTAATAATAATGTAATGCGGATGGGTAGGAGCTTGTTTGAGGGAGGAAAGGGGAATAATGTATATGAAAAAAATATAGATAAAGAAACGGGAACTAAATTGAAATAAAGAAAGAAAAAGGGAAAAGAAAAAGAAGAAAGAAAGAGAGGAGAAAAGGGAAAAAAACATACGGCCGTACGTTCAAAAAGATCGCGGAACCCATGATTAGGAGGCAGCGCCTCTATCCACACTACTACCTAGGACTGATGGCCGGTTTCCTTCCGTTGGTCTTGAAGCAGCGCGAACCCTTAAAAATTATTCAAAATTCTTAATTCACTACTTTCGTGGTCCGCTTGAACAATTAATACATGACAATTAATTAAGGTTTTTAGTTGAGATGAAAAAAGCTAATGGCACGAGAGGGATTCGAACCCACGACCTTCGGCTAGATACGCCGCTGCTCTACCACTTGAGCTATCGTGACCAAGATCCACTCGGACATCAACGCCCCACCTCAACCCCACCTTTTGAGTTTTCCCTCCTTTTGCCATTTTTCAAATGTTTTTTTCATCTCAACTAAAAACCTTAATTAATTGTCATGTATTAATTGGTCAAGCGGATCACGAAAGTAGTGAATTAATGATTTAAAAATGAAGTACACTTCACTAAAGCTCTCCGTCGCCATTTCAATTGTCGCCGAGAATCAAATTGATTACACGAGATTTGAAAAATAGCAAAAATGACCTGCGCAGGTGGTAGAGCAGCGGCGTATCTAGCCTAAGGTCGTGGGGTTCGAATCCCTCTCGTGCCATTAGCTTTTTTTCATCTCAACTAAAAACCTTAATTGTCATTATTCAAAATACATAGCACTAATAATAAACGTAAAATAGACAACTAACACATCCCTTCGTACAATTTATATAAAAAAAGAAAAAACAACAACTTTTTTTTCTCCTTATTCCTACAGTGAACAGAACGATAAACTAAAAGAAATTAACTTAATACTAATGTCCTCACTCACAAGCAAAAAGAAATTATTAACAATCAAACGAAAAGGTACCTCTTATAACTATAACATAAAATAGTTTAATTAGCGCGGAGTGATAACAATAGTGCGTATACACACTCTACTAGTTAGTATAGTTTATTTATCCTACACCGATATTTGTCTATGTTGAAGTCCGAGAACTTCAAGTCAGACCTGACCACCACCACATACACACTTAGCTGCGGATGACGAATTTTCTTCTTTTCCTTCTTTTTTTTTCCCGAGGAAAAATCTCCAGCGAGCTTGATTCTGTCCGTGTCCCCAAGCCGACCTGACCGAACTCGTCTCCTCCTCTCGACTCCTTCTCCTCGCGGCCGTACTGTCACCTCAGCTCCATACCCAACAACAAAACACCGTCTATTTTAGCTTTTTTTCTGTATAAAAAAAGGGTTACAACGGTAACGGTTAAAGTGTTGACGTAAATTGAGACTTACACTATAAAGGTCTCAGTTTCGAGCCTAATTCGAACAAAACTACTTACAAAATTTGCGCTTTATTTTTTAAAATACCGGACGTCAAGCAGATGTTTTCCATTTCTTGTAACCTCCGTAAGAACACAATAACGCACATAATTTTTAACAAATTTTTGAACTTCTAAATTTACAATTAACTTACTTAAGTAATAAAATCTTACTAATGGGGTAACTAACATTCAGTACCATAATAGAAAACATAATGAGTTATGGAATATTTAAATAAAATATTTTTAACGATTATTTTCATGTGTTTCAGGTACACACTTTCAATATGATTTAGCATGCAACTAAAGTTTGCTCGACTACACATCACCAGATAATAGTTAGGAAATAACTAAATGTCTTTTGGCAAAATAGACACATATAAATAAAAAAAAATAAAGAATTATGACTGGCATTCATTCATGTTTATTTCTTTTATATCCACTGTTCTCTATGACCAACTTTGTTATGTAGTCGTAGTGAGAGAGAGAGGGGAGAGAGAGAGAGAGAGAGAGAGAGAGAGAGAGAGAGAGAGAGAGAGAGAGAGAGAGAGAGAATTGATGAGGGAGAGAAGAAGAGAAAGGGAGGGAGGAACGGAGAGAGAGTGATAGAGAGAGCGATAGAGAGAGAGAGAGCGATAGAGAGAGAGTGAGAGAGTGAGAGAGAGAGAGCGATAGAGAGAGAGAGAGAGCGCGAGAGAGAGAGAGTGAGTGAGAGAGAGAGAGAGCGATAGAGAGAGAGAGAGAGAGCTAGAGAGAGAGCGATAGAGAGTGAGNAGAGAGAGAGAGAGAGAGAGAGAGAGAGAGAGAGAGAGAGAGAGAGAGAGAGAGAGAGAGAACTCGCATTGGGCCACCTATTGGGTCACATTTACTCGCGGGTTTATTTACTCGAACGCATTTCGCCATCTTCAATCAAGACCTCTCTGTCACATTCGCCGTGTAGATTTTGTATGTTGTTGTGTGCAACGGTTAACGTCGTGCTGTTCATCGGTTCAGTCCTGATGTTGTTTGGAACACATTTACCCGACGCCTTGTCGCGATTTGGTAGGGTGTGCACATCTATGCGACGTAAAGGTGGCCATTCACGATTGCTCCCAGCAGTCCAAACGGAACGACGCCGTTCCAAAAACCATGTCAATGGCAAAACTGAACTGGCGTGCCGGGCTGCGCCGAATATTCGACCGGTCCAAACTCCATCGCACCAGAGATTTTATTGTTGAGGTGATTGAATTGTATAAAAGTTTACCATGTTTATGGAAAGTGGTGGACAATGATTACTACGATAGAAATAAAAGAAATTCGGTTCTCGACCAGACTTTTCAAAACAAAGGATACAAATGCAACGACAGATGCGGTATTGATAACCCCTAAGCGCTGAACAGAAATCGTAGTAGAGAAAAGTTCTTCGTAGTTCATCCCTGTAGAAATCGTAATGTGGCTGCCAGTCTTTCATGTGGAGTGATGATTTCTCGCATGACTGTCTTTTGTTTTCTAATCAAGGAGGTACCAAGCTGGAGTAAATATACATAAGACGTTTCATCCATCCTTAAATAGTTCCTCCAGTCAGCGGATTCAAAGGAAAGATCTTTCATCAAATCGATGTGGGTATTAGGGGTTCTGTTCAGGAGCCAATTCTTACACCATTTCCTCTTCGGTTTATTGCTTTTTATACATAAACAAATAGCATAGTCCCTAGACAAGATGAGAGCTTAAACTTGTAAATTTTAAGATATTTTTCTTAATGGACTTTTGATTTTTGTGTGTAAAAATAAACGAGTCTGACTTGATTGAACTATCCTGTCAACTAAAGATACTGACTACTCCTCAGCGATAAAATTAGTGACACATAACTCATTATTTTTTCTCAATCATGTCAAAGTATCAATAAACTTAGTTACAGATTGAGCGGCATCTAAGATTAATTTTCAATGAATTTTTCAACACCACTCAGGGACACTCTAGATAAAGGAGAACGACACTGTCAAGTCGATCTGTAGCCTAACAGAAAGCTCCTGGATAGAGGACAAGCCAGATTTTTTTTTCTTAAATAGCATAAAAAATCTGTGAGTGATTATTTTTATAAAGTGTGGCTAGAATAAGAAAATAATAAATCAATTGAAAATAATTACTTATGTTAAGAGGACCAACTAAAACATATATATTAATATTTGAGTATTAAAACGTCCTTTTATGCTCTTGAATTTTTTAACTGCCCTTCCCCCTACCAAATCTTCTATTCTTTTCTATATTGTTTTAATTTGAAGATTTTAGATTCAGTTCAAAATTTTTTTTACCTTTAAAGACAACCCTCAAAAGATAGACTTTAAAAAAAGAAGTACTTGGTTCTTACAAAATTTTGAAAGTTCTATGGTAAGAAAAGTAGGAAATAAATTAACGCTTAGAAAAATCCTAAGAGAGAAAATGTTAAAAAATTGCGTTTTCATTGAAAAAGTACTTTTATCTATCTAAACATACGCTTACAGACAGCTATATGTTAACAGATGGTGAAAATCTCTCTTTAGAGGACACATCCCAAAAGGGGACAAATAGAGGCCAGTCCTATTTCGCAGGATAGAGGGACCCGGCAAAGGGAAACCCCCTTTTGCAAACAGCTTAAGTATACAAAGAGTATAGAGAAACCTACTTCGAAACCGGTGGTACTTGCGATGCTTAACATCTCGATAGTTGCGAATATATCTCCGAAACCGTTGGCTTCACCAATGGACAACTTGATAGAAACAATGAAAACTGTATTAAGACCAAACATATTGAATAATATAAAAAAAGTAGGTTTTTTTCACTCATTTTCTAGTAATAATAGTAATATGTGTACGGGAGTTATCCAACCCCCTAGTCAAACAACTTTTAACCCGAAACCTTTCCACCAATGGATCTTAAAGCTCGAATGACCTCGCGATTTCCTCCCTAGTAAAGAATGTATGTTTTGCTGTTGTGGGGGTGTAATTAATAGATTATTTCTCTACTCTTATAATGTTATAAAACAAAGTTTATAACGACAACCAAGTTGTTTGTACTATTGAAAAAAATTATAACAATTGTTAGGTGGATTTTATTGTCCTAAAATCAAAACTTATTAAAAGTCAGACTTTATTTATGACTATCACAAAATAAAAAAAAAAATTAAACTGCCCATAAAAACCGACCACCTGATTTTTGCACGAAAAATTGGCCACTTCGAAATGCATATTTTTTCAGCCTTTTAAGTCAAAGACCTGCGCAGGTCACATTTTTTGAGAATTGTACGTAGAACAAGATGATTTTTTAAATGTTGGCCTAGATTGAGTCATTCATCAATAAATTCAAAAATTCGGGAACATGTTAATTTTTACATTCACTAGTTTCGCGGTCCGCTTGACCAATTAATATCTTACAATTAATTAAGGTTTTCAGTTGAGATAAAAAAGTCAATGGCACGAGCGGGATTCGAACCCACGATCTTCGGCTTGATACGTCGCTGCTCTACCGCTCTACCTGAATTGAAAAATGGCAAAAAGGAAGGGAAAATTCAAAAGGTGTGGTTGAGATGGGAGGTTGGTGTCCAGTGGATCGAGGTCACGATAGCTCAAGTGGTAGAGCAGCGGCGTATCAAGCCGAAGATCGTGGGTTCGAATCCCGCTCGTGCCATTGACTTTTTTATCTCAACTGAAAACCTTAATTAATTGTTAATTTTTACTTTTTTACGAATAACTTAAATTGAGCTGTGGAGCCAAAAAATCGTCCTGGAGCTGCGCCTTATACCAATCGATAGGAAATTTCAATAAGCTCTCAATTGATCACCTCTCACTTTGCCCGATTTTTTCAACCGTTTTTGAGTTATTTACGATTTTTGGGCATAAACCGTTTTTTTCCGTGTTCATGAAAAAAAAGATCACTCTCTCTCCGGACCATTCGATTACGATAAAACAAGCCATACTCTTCAAGGTAACATTTTGTACAAAATGAGACTTGGCGCAGGTCTGTGACATAAAAGGCTGAGAAAATAAGCATTTTTCAAGTTTTTTTGGAGGGAGGAAGTTTAGTTGTACTTTGAACATGATAAGTATTAACGTTAAAAGTATTAAGTGTTAATTAGTTTCAAGTGTAATCTTGCGGCTGATGTTGGGGTATTGTTAGGTATTTTGTAAATATTTTAATGAAATACTTCCCAGATTCTCTCTTGGTGGGTTAGAAGTGGGAAAGTTCCCCCACTTGAGCACCATGACGCAACTTCGTGTTACAGTAGCAAAGGTACAAAACTTTTTTACTAAGAGAATATTTACATTATTTATCACTCGATCACAAACAGAATTGATTAAAAGTTGTGATGGGGTTTAAATGGTTTGATCGAAGTGTAACTGTTAAGGTGGATTCACACACACCAGTGACGTGACAGTGTTGTTTATTCCCCTGAGAACTTACAGGGCTCTCTATTCACACTGGTTAGTGCTTCCTCCGTGTCTTCCAGTGGACTTTATTGGCGAAATGGCAATTTTTTCAGATTATGAACTTTTGATTATCACACTGATTTTGGACTATGGAAAAGATCTACAAGTGAAAAAACGGAAGTGGCATCAAGGATGGAACAAAGAGGAAATTTGCTACACTTTACAAAGAATAAATGGACGATGGAGCAAAATTCTGTTTGCTGCATAAGTTAAGATTTAAACTTCTTAATACTTTAAGAAATACGATATAAGCACGAATATAATTTAAACAATGTTTATAAATTCCAGGCCTCAATAAAGATCAAAACGTTGGCATTACAAAGAAAATATTTTTCTAAACCTACATCACTCAAGACTACATCTCACGATATAATCTATAACAATAATTAACTAACGGTCATTAAATACTACACACTGTAAACTATCGTCAACGAGAAATCAGAATATCACGGTTCAGTGACAACGGCAGCCCTGTCGGCACGGCCACGGTCACGCGCCGGGCGAGACAAAGCCATTCAGTTTTTAAGAAGAATATTTTCAAACTCGCAGGTGGAACAAAATGCCGGACACGACACTGTCACATCACTGATGTGTGTGAATCGACCTTTATGCTGACATATTTGCAACTGTTTGTTTTTACTTTTATCACTTCTATAGAATAGTAATAGTAAGTGCTCGGTTTTTAACTCTGATCTGACCAAGTTTTTAGATACATGATCTTAAATTTACGGAAATTTAGTCTATAGCTCAATATTTTACAGGTATTGATTTAATTACAGATTTAAAAGTCGTAAATATCAATCGTTACAAAATACAATTTATTTCCTGTCGTATTTTTCTTAATAGACATTCGATTTTTGCGTGTAAAAATAAACGAGTCTAACTTGATTGAACAATCCTGTCAACTAAAGATACCGACTACACCTCAGCGATAAAATTAGTGACACGCGATTCATTATTTTTTTCTCGATCATTTGAAAGAATCGATTAACCTAAATTCTATTTTAAGATTTATTTTTAACGGAAACTGATACATTAAAAAAAAAGCCGTAACGGAAAAATAATAACACTACATTGACAACGGAGTTTGATTATCCTTGCATTTAATTTACAATGGGTTGAGTTATGCTAAACCAGCAAATCCGTTTGGTCGTGCCGAACTGTAGCTCCTAGTGCGTAGAATGGACAAAAATAAATAATGCATTTTCGACTAGACCTATCGTCATTTGATCTCCCTCCCTCACTCTCTCATCCACCCTCTCTCTATCCAGTTTTCTACTAATATACTTCGTATAAATCAAAAGTAGTTTTTCCTTATTTAAGGAAATTAATAAACTCATAAAAACCACAAGCAATAAATATAAGATATAAAAATACTCTCACGATTTCTGAATAATCTTCGAGTAACGGTCACTAATCACCACACATATACATATATATAATANGAAAAGATATTTTTGTATAAGGAGTCGGCTTCTTTGAGGTGAAAAGAGCCGACGATGGGAAAAAACGTTGGTAATGGTTCGGCCAGATTATCCTTTCAGGATTACATAGACGCAGATAAATAGGAAAAGGAAAGCTAAATTGTTGAAAAATTAGACTATGTGAAAATGTTTGATGTGTGGAATGTGATGTGATGATATATGAATATTATCTATACTGAATTTGATTAATGATATTGGCTGCGACTAAGTTACAATTACAATTACAGAACAGATACATGTAAATCAGATGTTTGTAAATCCCAGGCCCTGAAGATGATCTCATTAAAGATCGAAACGTTGACAAGATAAAGAAAATGTTTTTCTGAAACCAGACCGCATCACGATCTCCGAATAAGATAATAATAAGATTTATATATATATATATATATATATATATATAACCATTGACATACCAATTTAAAGGATTTTGTGCGCTGAAATCAATAGTGCAATTGGATTTTAAATCCGTTGGAAAATGGCAAAGTTATGGCAAAAAATTAAAAAAAAACTGTCATTGGTTTGCTATTTATTAATCACATTTCATGTTCAAACTGCCTGCCTTGCGTAAATATGCAAATATTTGCTCTTTTTTACCACTCATCAACGGCGCGCAGAGCAATAGAGGGTAGATGGACTGCCAAGCATTTTCTATCCTTAGCAGCAGATCTTCAGCTGACGTTGCTGGGTTATGATTGGCGTAGACACAGTTTTTTTACAAGGCGCCACAGAAATTAGTGAAGTGGAGGTAAATGGGGTGAGCGAGGAGGCCAAAAGATCAGGCCATGAGGTCCTACCCACCTATTCCCGAAGTGACGATTCAAATAACGCGATGAAAATTGGAAAAAAGTGATTAAAAACAAAGGTCAATACATCTCCGAATAGTGAAAAACATGCCAGGTATAAAATAAAAGTATATACTGAAAAAAATGCATAATTTTCTTGCCAACCCAATATAATTCAAAGGGTTGGACCCCATCTTTTGTAACCCAGT